TATAGTACAATTTTGTATTTATTTATTTATTAAAGAAATTACAATTTTATTCCACAAGGATGCATTAAATTGATCAAAAGTGACAGTAAAAACATTTATAATGTTACAAAAGATTTCAATTTCAAATAAATGCTGTTCTTTTAAACTTTAAAAATTACGGATTCTGCAAAAAAATTTAAGCAGCACAACTTTATTTCAATATTGATAATAAGAAATGTTTCTTGAGCAGCAAATTAACATTAGAATGATTTCAAAATAATCATGTGACACTGAAGACTAGAGTAATGATGCTGAAAATTCAGCTTTGTCATTTTAAATTACATTTTAAAATAGAAATCAAAATAGAAGTTATTTTAAATTGTAATAATATTTCACAATATTGTTGTATTGACTGTATTTTTTATCAAATAAATACAGCCTTGGTGAGCGTAAGAGACTTCTTTCAAAAACATAAAAAACTAAAACAAAATCTTTCCAAGCTTATTATTTAAATGTAGTGTATATGTATATATCCAAATATATGAATATATGGATGTTTTTTGTCCTTTTATAAATTATATATTATTTAATTATTATGCGTAACTTAGATGTTTATTGCTAAACATTTTTGCCAATATAGCTATTTTTTGTGGTTCTTAAGGTATAAATAGTCCCAGTGAGCTCCAGGTGACCTTGCCCTTCATGCTGTACATGTGCTTCTTTGTGTTTAATCAAACTCCTCAAATACATCCGACTAATCTCCCTGCATCTGTACGCATGAGTGGCGTATGCCTATTTGTAAATATTTGCACATTTGTTGTGGCGTCTGTTTGCCGTCTCAGTCAAGTCCGATGGCATAACATGCACATTTTCTCAGCATTCACAGCAGAGCACGAGTCCTTCATCTGTCCACACAGCCGTTTTGATCTGATAACAGGACCGCAAAGACATGTTTTTTTATTTTATTTTGCCAGCCTGGTTGCCATGGTGCCTCAGTGTCCCCCTTTGGTGAGGTTTAGTAGGGTTGAGCAGGTTTTGATGATCCTTTTTGACCCCACAGGGTAAAACTCGGACCACCAAGCCTACCGTGGCAAAGTTTCTCTCTCTCAGTTGGACTCAAGCATCTGGCAGCAGGCCCGTGTCTTGTCCTTTCTGCCTAAAATGCTAATTACCCGGTTAAGATCAATCGCCTGTGCCCGAGATAACATCTGTGGGCAGTGAAGAGAAGCACGTGGGTAATGTGGAAGATCCAAAGTCACTGGAGTCTCTTGTATTTTGTAATTCAGTTCAGTTCAATTCAAGTTTATTTGTATAGCGCTTTTTACGATACAAATCGTTGCAAAGCAACTTTACAGAAAATTAAGTTTCTACAATATTTAGTAGTAGCTTATCAGTGGTGACTGTCAGTTAATGTACATATGGCAGAAATGTATGGAAAAATCAATTAAAGACATAATCAAACAGACGATGAACACTATTTACAGCAGTTATTATATGATGCAATCAAACTTATAGCAAAGTTTGGTAGTTCTGTATGTTGTTTATAACCGGCCG